TGACAAGATTGATTGTCAAAGCTAATAATTTAATGAATATTTGAAAGAGCGTTTCGTCTTTTGCACTGTAGATTGTTAATTGATAAGTTCTTAGAATGAAAATGAAAAAACATTTTGTTAGCAAAACAGCTTTATTCTTCAACATACTCTCCTTTTAGCTCAATACATCGAGTCCATTGAGTTTCCGTAACTTCTTTAAGCCTTCCAAATAATAATGTTTCTAGAGCATCAAAATATGCATCTTTCCCATTTCCCATTCAACCTCTTTATTTGAAGTAATCTCTTTCCTTTGAATCATTTTTTAAGATTTGGAAACAGTTAAAAGTCACACGGGACCAGATCTGGAGTATACGGTAGATGTGGGAGTAATTTATACATCAATTTATTTAATTTTGTTTTTGCTTCTACCGATTTGTGAGCTGATATATTGTATTAACGAAAGAGGACTTTTTTTCGCTAATTGGGGCCATTTTATCTTGATTTTATCATTCAATCGGTCCAACAATGATGCATAATATTTTTGTATGATTGTTCTTCCTTTCTCAAAATAATCGATGAGGATTATTCCATGTGCGACCGAAAACACAGTGGCCAGAACCTTCTCCAGCCGATTGTTACTTCTTTGGTCGCTTCGGAACACTTCTACGCTTTGGAATCCATTGTGCCGACTGCTGTTTCAATTCAGGTGTATAGTGGTGGATCCATGTTTCATCAACGATTATGTATCGACGCAAAAATTCATTTGATTTGCGCCTAAAACATGTCCAACAATGTTGAGAAGTGCGAACTCGTTTTTGATCGATTGATAGCAATCGTGGCACCAATAGCAATCTTGCTGTCAGCTTTCTCACATCCAAATGTTCGTGTAGACTGTAGATATTAAAACGTTGATGAGATGTATATAGCTGCAGCCAGTTTACACAATTTCATTTTGGGGTTATTGAACACGATATATTATGGATCTTTTTACTCATTTCTGGTGTAGTTACCTCATATATAGTTAGATTAATCTGTAATATTGTTTGCGACAAAGGTGTCGCATCATGTATATTACCTATTTACAATAATTTTTAATAAAGTAAAGTTGATAAGTAGATTTTTTCATCTCATTTAATGCTTTTATTAGTTTTTAGAATTAGAAATTGCGATTTTATTGTAATTTTTGAAAACAATATGCCTTGTTAGATCATTCTTAGTGGTGTTATAGTTAATCATAATTGTAACAAAATTTGTAAAATACCATTTTTTATTAGAAATCATCTAATGGAATAAATTGAACAAAATAAGCGGGAATTATATGATAATTAGTATAAATTTTTAGATGTTTTTAGAGAGTGTGTTTATAAATATGGTATTTCATATATATCAACGCTGTAGTTTGCCAAGTGTATAAAAACTCAAAGAAAGTATCGAACCTTCCGTGAGACATAAACGTCACTTCGCAAATGTTATGGCACTATTAAAGGTATCCAAAATTTATATTATGTTAAAAAAACTAAATTATAATATCATGGTCCATGGATAATAAGATTATAATAAAAAACAGTCATTTGGCAATGTCGTACCATAATATTGATTCAAACTTTCGATTACGAGTCTATTTAAATTCGGTAATCGCAAAAAAAATGGTTATTTGCATTATCTTTAAGTTTTGAAATTATATATGCACACACGCACACAAAGTCGATTTGTCACTCAAGGACTGCTGTCACAATTTCATCCACGTCTAAATTAAAAAAATTATAACTCTGAATATTATAGCTATATTCACGGCGACGATATCTGTTAATGCAAATACGCAATTATGAATATGAAAGTATTAAATTATTATAATAAATGGGTACAAGGCTAATAAGAGTACAACATTCAAGATTAAAAATTTAAAACAACGCTTTTTTGTTGACATAATTTTATAAGAAAATATAAAAAATATATAAAAATTAGCGCATAAAATTAAACATTAATAAATTATATAAAGCTTTGAATAATATATAAATAAATCATGACTTGTTTCGGCCTCGGGTTTTGGCCCTCTTCAGATGTACGTAGTGAATCATTATAACAAACTTATGACGGTTCTTGTTAGAAAAAAAAAAAAATTAATAAAATTTATAATATTAAAATTTATATCTTCAGCGTCGTCATACTGAGATTAAATGGATAAAGAAATTTGTAATACTTTTTCCAGCTTTGGACACAATATGGTCCATGGGCAGATACATTAGCATGAATATTTTAATCGTGGAAAAGGAATTTTTTCTGCGAAACTATTATAAAGAAATTAGATAGGAACGAAAACATCAAAAACGCTAATTTCATCGATAATACAGGCTGGTCCAGCATCACCTTAAAGTCTGAACCAAACAATTGAATCGGTACGTTTCTGTGAAAAATTGGATCGATTCCGAAAAAATTGAAAAATTAAAGAATCGCTAGAAAATGGATTCCTTCAAGAGCAAAAAGATTCGATTCTCGATGAATTGATACAAGAATCGGCATCACTACATTTTAGGCCTAAAAATAAGTAATAGGCCTTAAATTAAGTAATGTCTTAAAACGCTAATATGGCCTTTTGATATTGTTTTATGACATCTTAAGACTATACTTAAAACAGTTAATATAGTCTCAAACATAATACGTCTTCTACAATAAGCCACAAAAGTCATAAATAATAATTAGAAGTTAGAAGCTAGAAATGGACCAATCACAGTCGTCAATTTTTAGTTTCTATTTCTGATTTATGACTTATGGCTTATTGTAGAAGACCAATAATAATCGACTGTGAATACTATACTAACTTAAATATATACTATATTATATACTACATAGTTTAGAGCTGCATTTCAAATTCTCTGAAGAAAATTTTACTTAAATATATAGCATACGTAATGTATACTATATTATTGAGTAAAAGATATCTATATTTATTAAAAATTAAAATTAAGTTTATTCTAAATTATGCGTGGTCTACAATGGCAGTAGTAGTAGTGTATAAGACTAACTCTTACAGTCTCATCCACTACTATTACTACAGCCATACATGCACGATTATACATATTGCTCGCTGATTATGGGCAATTTAAAAATAATAGAACCTCATTGGTAAAACAGTGAAAATTTACTAGGCACCGGCCAATGTGATGTTGTGTGTGTAATCGGGATTGTAGGTAAACGGGATCCTCCCATTATAAATACCACTGTTGAATTCAATATATGATTTCTAATAACTTTATTAAATATGACAAACAATTAAAAACTAATCAAAAAATAGAAATTTTGAAATATATTAGTAACAGAATAAATTTAAAAAAATGATTTAAAATAAATTGTATATTTATGTCCTTTAATAAAAATTATTATATTTATTTTAATATAATTTCTTTAAACTGAGTATCGATTATGAAACTTTTTCCCTAGGATGAAAAGTGAAAAGTGAAATTTTTTACCGTTGAAGTTAATGGAAAAATTTTTCACTTTTCATTTTTCATTCTAGGGAAAAAGTTTCATAATCGATACCCTGATATAAATTTTTAAACATATCCCTATAATAATCTGTTTATTCAAATAATTTAAAGTTTAAATTTTTTATTTGAAGTATATATGCTGTATTTACGCCATTTCATCGCCGTCGATAAATTATCGTCCGCCGGTTCCACTGCCTATAGACGCCATGCATATAATATCACGTAGTTCCAAACCGACTGATGGTAATGTACGAGCTACTTTTTCTGTGAAGCAGCCATTGCTGTGATTGAGCGATACCACAGCGATACCACTGACCAGAGAGGTTGCAGTACGGAACGGAGTGTGGGGGAATTGGGATGGTTATTCGAAGGAAACGAAGATAAAGGTAACCTCTTTAAAACGTAAAAAGGTACGGTCATATAAAAATACGTGTGCAAATCTCATTTTAGAAGACTAGTTATTCATAGTTTTGTTTATATTATATTCAATACAAAACATAGATTTCGCAAGTTTTTTGAGAATTATTATTCGCCAACAATAATCGCTATCCCGTCATGATGTCTTTCATCAACGAAGGAAACAAGGTCTTCGTTGTGTCAGGAAACGACGTGCCTTCGAATGACACGGCAGATTTTATTGCTATGATCAAACAGCGGATTGGAAATTCCGGTAAATTGCAAATTGCGATTTTATCTGACGTAAAGAAGGGTGAGTACACATTTTGTTTAATTTGTTGAGGTTTTTATTACATTAAAGATTAAAGAATGTATTATTTGTAAAAGTTTTTATACATCTCCATACAACACAGTTCTTTGAAGAATGATTCTTAAGACATCCCTTGATGTACATTTTGTTTCATTTATAATGTATTGTTCGGAGGGATATTTATTTTACTTGCTAAATGTTAAGAGAAAGATAAAATGATGCTGTGTCGACTTGTGTCACTAAATAGAAAGCACTCCTTTAATATTAGTGAATAAGAATAAACTGGATAACTTGAAGAACAATATTGTGTAGATCATAATGAAAAGAATATTAATTTATTTTGTATGATTTTAGAAAGTCACAATGCATCTACCTTTGATGTCATCATTGCCATTTTTAAACAACCATGCATGGATGAGGATTTCTTAACAGAAACATTGAGAATATTAAAACCTGATGGTTTGCTTGTTATTTATGAACCGCTGTCAGCAGATAGAAAGCCAGATACAGTACTTACATATCCTGAAAGAATATCTAAATTAAAATTATCTGGCTTTAAAGTAAAAGATACAGAACAGAAAAAGTTGAATACAGATCCGGAGAGCAAAAATCTTTTGCTAAAAGTGTATAATAATATAGAAACAGTTTGTAAAATATCTGCGAATAAACCAGCATTTGAGGTGAAGTAACTTTTAAAAAGTAACGTTCTTAATAAAGATAATAGAGACTTTGTATGTAATTTTTTGTGATAATTTAGGTGGGTTCTAGTATTCTCATTTCATTTGCAAAAAAGCAAACTAATGTGTGGAAATTAGATGACCCAGTAGAGGAAGATTTAATAGATGAAGATGAACTTTTAGATGAATCAGATCTTGTAAAGCCAGATGCATCATCCTTAAAAGGTAAGATTATTGTAAAGTTAAAAATAAAGTAGGTACATGTCATTTTTATTTCGCACATTAAAGTAGATAAAGAGGATTTGCAAACTTATATCAATTAGACATGTATATTATTTTTCAGTTTGTGCGACAACAGGTAAGCGGAAAGCGTGCAAAGATTGTTCATGTGGACTCGCAGAAGAATTAAGTGGTAAAGCTGTGCCAGAAGATACTGTTAAATCTTCTTGTGGAAATGTACGTTTTATATATTATTGCTTTTTTCGAAAATCATGTTTGTCATATTTAATGAAGCAATTATATAAACTTTAATTATATAAATTTTGATTATAATTTTTTTATGAATTTGTTTATATAGTGTTACCTAGGAGATGCATTCAGATGTGCCAGTTGTCCTTATCTTGGAATGCCTGCCTTTAAACCAGGGGAGAAAGTACTTTTACCCGAAACTCAACTAATTGTCGATTCTTAAGCTTGTTATTTATTTATTGAAATACAATTGTAATAAACACGTATAGTTCGTATTTGTGCAAATAACTGCTCGGTTTCTGTATGATTCTATCTTGTACTTTATTTAATAATATAATAATACAAAGATATTTTTTTCTAGTATATGTTTGATGTTGATAAAATAATAATTCTTGAAATAAAAGAGAGTGTACTTATATAAATTAAATTTAATTGTATTTTATTATATCTTAATTTTGTCAACTTTGTCAATATATTGCTTCATTACCGTAAAACATTCAATTATATTTAATCACTATATCTATAAAAAAAAAGGTATATAACACTTTCTAATCAAGTAAATTATTTTAAATATTTTTTAATTATTAATAACAAAAGTTTATCTCAGATTTGTAGCGGTAAATATTGTGAAAAATGTGGAATAATTACGCGTTTTGCAAAATTAATTGATATCATTACATTGTTTCATATTTCTTATATCCTTATATTTTTATTTGAATTATAACAATTTGAGTGAACAGTTTTGTAAATTATGTTACATTATATCACAGTAGTTTATTATATTTTATACAAGTAGTTTATTATATTTTAAGGAAGAAATTGTAAAATATGTTTTATCTTTGAGAGAGATATATATTACATTTTCTATTCAATAATTTATATAAAAATTTCTTCATTTTTCAAGTTTTTTCTTTAAAGATAAATGTGTGAACAATAGTTTTAAGTACCACCTTTCACTCTGTATATACAACAAAATTACGTTATTCGAGTAACATGAATGCTGAATTATTCGTGAGAAATGTTTTTTGTTAAGTATAGTATAGTATATAAAAGTGATAAGGTGATTGAAATCACTGGTGCAGCCAACAGTTTTATTCGTTTACTTTGTGCAGTATTATTATGAACATTGCAACAACGTCATAGTTAATATGTGTACAAAAAGTAGAAAAAGATTATTCTCGGATTTATAATTCCTTGAAGAATTCGCTTCGTTTTCGCAAGACTGCACGATATGCATTGTTTAACTTATCTTTGTGCATGATATGCGTTTCTGTTTCTGTTTTATTTTTGTGCTTTTCCATCATGCATATCATGCAGCAGTCATATTACATCATCAATTTAATTCTTGCACGGTAGCCGAAGTCTAAGCAAGAAGCGTTTCTCTGTTAGAACGGCGGACTATATTATCGCAGCGCGTGTTCTCCGTTGCACAAATGCAGTCCCTCCCAAAGGGCGGCTCGTCCGTTAATCGTTCATCTCGCGATTAGAAATCTGTTCTTCCTGCGTTTCTTCCTTACTTCCGTGGTCGACCGTTTCGCTGCATGAAGCAACCCTTGAAGGAATTTAATCTCACGTCAATCTCGCCCTCCTCCAACTGAAATGTGTTCATCGTTCGTTATACCGTTCAGTTCGCATGAGTGAAATTATATACCGGATACGTACTAGATGTGTAGCACGTAAAGCGACATGGTAACCAAACGCAATTAACGGAATTGGTATTCCACATATACCGGTACCTGATCAAATAAATAGATCTCCTTGTAACAGGACGGCGATACGCATTCCCGGATGCATCGTGTTTTGGCGACGCTGTCGCTCCTGTGTTGCGATAGCATCTTGCAAGCGCCGCTTTCCTCGCAAGCCTGCTCGAATTGTCTGAAGAGGAGCTCCTGCAGCACGGGAATTGATCATTAATAATATTGATTTGACCATTACATTTTACCTCTTAATCGTTATAAAAGTTTAAATACATAAAGGTATTAATAGCGCAATATTGAAAATATAAATCGCTTTCGTATTTTCCCTCCTGCATATTTTGCTGAAATAAATTGTATGCTTTGATTATTCTGTATATAAAACGTTGCAAATGGATTTTGCGGTTAATTTCGAGAATGTGAATATTAATGTTTATTTCTGTACGAGAAAAAAAATTTTCTGTTAGTACATGTGTTATCGATAGAATAATGCTTACAGCATTCCGCGCCGCGGCGGGATAAAGCGGAATGCAACAATTGATTTGTGCCTGTCAAAAGATTAACCCCAATTAAGGCCAATGAGACTTCCAGTAGCGTGACACGTATATACATCTTTAATTTCTTTCGCGAATAACTTCGCGTCCGTCTTTTTTTGCGCAAATAAAAGCACTGCGGCAAAATATAACATCTTTGAAAGAGAACATCTGCCAAGAACGTAATATAGGAAAATACGTACATATATAAGGTCCTTTTATTTTATTTCCTAGCTAGAAGATACGATTGTGCAGAGAATACGTTTCTGATATGCATTTAAGCTAACAATAGAACTATCCGTAAAATTAAAAAGAGAGAGAGAGAGAGAGAGAAAAGGATTTTAAAAATAGTTTTGTGAAGCTTTCTTCTTTTTTAAGTCACATAAGCAAATTATTTTTAACTATATAAAACTTTTCTTTCTAATATATTTTTTTACAATATACAACATTAGGAAAAATGTCTTGTTCTATGAACCAATAAAACACTGTATTTTATAAAACTAGATTTTTTAATTAGCATAAATAAATATTTTTGTTATTTACAAAGCAAAGAAATTATTTTGCAAAATCAATTAATTTTTTGTTATACAATACCATATATATACAAAATGTTGGTTGCTGTCAAAAAATGACTGAACTAAACAGTTTTGTTAAAGTATTTGAAAATTCAGCTAAATATAGATTCAGCTAAATTTAGAAATAATATTTTTGTGATCTATCAGAATAATTATATACAATGAATCACAAAACAATTATATACATTCAAGTTGGTTGCTAAAATGCTAAAATTTTTTGCAATTTGCAGCATTACTTATGCATGAATATAGATAATATTTGAACTTCCTATATAAATTATAATATTATGGTAGTCCAGTAAATTTTCTGTAAATTTTTATATATTTTATAAAATTGTTTAGTGTATTTTTTCTGATTTTATGCAAAGAGGCTATAAATATTATTTTTGTAATTTATCCTCCGTTCGATGAAACAGGGTCTTTCGATCGCTGTGTTATATTGCGAAACTGTGTTGTTGTTCCAAATGCAAATATTCGTAGTTACTTTCAAGTACATCGATGTACACTTTGACCTTTAGCCAAATCTCTCTCGAGTTAATGTCAGATCGATTGTTTGGTTCCTCCACTGGATTGCTATCTGATTCCGATTTTATTTCCTTGGTCGTAAATGTTACTGAATGTTTCTCTCATCATGTTGCTAAATTTAAATTTTTTTTCACAGAGACAAAGATATAATAGTTTTTTATATAATTTCGAATTCTACCAATATATAATCATTTATGTTTTACATATACTGGCTAGATTAAAAATATTTTTATAGCCAATTAATGATCTCCGTGCAAAGAGAGACGGATTGGAGCACCGTTCTTAATCGTTCAACTTGAGAATTGGTGTACCAAAGCCAGCTTATCGTTAACACTATGTTCTTAACATCGTAAAATTGCCCTAAAAGAGGATTGTTCCCCATAACCTCTCTGTATCAGCGTTCACTAGGTATCATTCGTAGGGTGGACTTTAATGAATTACATGGACAACTCACGTTCTTGGTAGTCTCCTTATATGGGTATTCTGGGAATGTGAAGGTCTTTGCGAGGGATCCTGGTCCTTCTTGAAGATGTCCGACGACGAGAATCAGGCTGAGCGCGAATACCACCCCCGCCGCCATGTTGAGCGGAGTTAGTGACCGATCAATAAACGGGGATGGCGCTCCGATTTCTCTATCGAGTTTCTAGGTGGAAAATAAGAAACTTTTAGGCCTAATGAGTCGTAAAAGATTACCTTTGAGTTGATGGAATATTAAATTGTAAGATTTGTAATATTTAAAAGCAAGCAAAAATATGTTAGTGTCGAAACCATATGTCTTTCCGTCAGATAGCACAGAGAGTTTAAAAAGAATTCAGTCGCTGTCATCAATTCTGAGTTCATTTCCAGATGCAACAAAAAGGTCTTCTTCTAAAAAATTAAAAAAAAATTCTTTTTGCATTTAAAAATGAACTCAGAATTGATGACAATATGACTATCTAAGTTTACACTTCTTTTGCATTGTTACATTCGCAGCAGATCATTTAACATTTTATTCTTTCTTTTATTTTTACGTTTTATTCTTTTTATTTTCTTTTTTTTATCCATAAAATTCCAAATTGTTTTTTTTTATCATACATTACAATCAAAAACTTTTACTCTATACAGCTCGATTAAATGAGTTTTACAGTTTTATTTTATGATCTACATAAATTTTCATTCATATGTATAGCTTATCTTCACTTATGTGCTATTTTATTTTGCAGTATTACTGATACCTTACTTCTTCCGTGAATATTTTATTTTTCTTTTTGTTGATATAATTCGACGCGCGAACGTTAACTTTGAAAAATATTAAACTTATCCGTGCAATTAAGTAATTATTTTATATGCAATAAAATTATTATTATCTAATGCATTAGTTTACATTTCTTCCTATCTGTTAAATAATAATAAATAAGGTCGAACGTAAACCAACATTTCTATTAATTTTCAAAACATACTTGAATTTTTTTTATTAATGATGATTTTTTTATACGGATATCTAATGGTAGTTAATGAGAGTTTCCTCAAGCAAAAGCCAATATTTTTATTTTAACAAGCATCAACATGTGTCTATTAAATTTTTACTTTTGTAAGATCCAATAAAATTTAATGGTGGCTCTCGTGAACTTTCGATGCCGTTGCGATTCGCGCAGTGACATGCGAATTTACCGATAACTTTATATAGCAGCGCAGCTGCGATATTTGCATAAAACGTATCGAGGCGTATGCAACAGAGCGCAGTAGCATTTATCGTTTCGATGTGTATGCGAACGGTGAACGAGATGGTGAACGTTTTTGCTGGGTTAGGCGTTGTGCACCACCAATCCCAAATTCCGCGCGCGGCTTTCGTGCCATTAATTCGAGATTTCGGCGGCGATTAGCAACAGTTCCGGCTCGCCCGATATGTTCCTCTTGTCCCTTGTGTGATTGCAACATTCTGCCAGTTGCATGGATAGCTCATGT